ACCACTAGCACCCCCCTGGCCCCAACACCACTAGCACCCCCCTGGCCCCCACCACCACTATCACCCCCCTGGCCCCCACCACCACTAGCACCCCCCTGGCCCCCACCACCACTAGCACGCCCCTGGCCTCCACCAACACTGAAAACTCTGCTTTTCTGATTGGTTGACGTGTATTACAATGGTTTTAGGGGCGGGCAAAGTCAACAGATGACAAAAAAAAAAGGCAGCCGAAATAAGATGTACAGTACAAAGCGATCGTTGTCTTTTTGAGCGATACATCAGATCTATACATTGAAGACAGAAATGTTCATATAAATCCCGGAATCACCATCATTGCCCTCCTTATCATGCAGGTGTGGGACGGTGTCATCCATCGGCCCCGGAGAAACCTTCTCTTTTAACTGTGATGGGATGGAGGGCCGATACATCAATATCGTCATCCCGGACAAGGAGACACGCCTGGAACTGTGTGAAGTTCAAGTGTTCGGTCTTCACATCGATACCCCGAGTAAGATTTAATGTGTTCCCTGTAAGGATTGTTTAACCAGTTGTAGTCTCACTCCTCTACACCATCCGTGGAGCCGAGCCATTCTTACCTTTCCATCAGTGGTCTCCAAACTGCGGCCCATGGGTCAAATGCAGCCCTTTGCTTGCCTTTATCCGGTCCTGGGGGGACCATTCCTCCTCCTGACTCCTGCAATGGGGCACTATTCCTCCCACTGACACCAATGATGGGGCACTATTCCTCCCACTGACACCAATGATGGGATACTATTCCACTGACACCAATGATGGGGCACTATTCCTCCCACTGACACCAATGATGGGGCGCTATTCCTCCCACTGACACCAATGATGGGGCACTATTCCTTCCACTGATACCAATGATGGGGCACTATTCCTCCCACTGACACCAATGATGGGACACTATTCCTCCTACTGACACCAATGATGGAGCACTATTCCTTCCACTGATACCAATGATGGGGCACTATTCCTCCCACTAACATCAACAATAGGGTACTATTCCTCCCACTGACACCAATGATGGGGTACTATTCCTCCCACTGACACCAATGATGGGGCACTATTCCTCCCACTGACACCAATGATGGGACGCTATTCCTCCCACTGACACCAATGATGGGGCACTATTCCTCCCACTGACACCAATGATGGGGTACTATTCCTCCCACTGACACCAATGATGGGGCACTATTCCTTCCACTGACACCAATGATGGGGCACTATTCCTCCCACTGACACCAATGATGGGGCACTATTCCTCCCACTGACACCAATGATGGGGCACTATTCCTCCCACTAACACCAACAATAGGGTACTATTTCTCCCATTGATACCAACGATGGGACATTATTCTTTTCACTGATACCAACAATGGGGTCTCAACCTCCAGAAATTACTATTCAGTCTTGACCAACCCCCACCCAGACAGATGTAACAATCTCTGGCTGCAGACAACAATGTATTCTCATCGTAGGAGGTCACATTGACAGTTATTATTCCTCTTCCACCTCATCCAATCCATTACTAGACTTTGTAGCTCCTCTCCATATGTAGAGCCCCCTCGTGTAGGCCTAACTCTGAAGAAGGGGGCACGCCCTCGAAACTCGTCAGTTGCTGGCACAGTGGGGTTATCTGTCAGGTTAGAACTGAGCTAACAGGATGGCCACCATAGGAAGCGGCTTCTTATGGAGTCACACCGAGAAGAAGATAAGTCAGGAGCGCCAGCGGGGGACCGAGAGAAGAAAAGCCAGGAGCGCCAGCGGGGGACCCGAGAAGAAGATAAGCCAGGAGCGCCAGCAGGGGACCCGAGAAGATAAGCCAGGAGCACCAGCAGGGGACCCGAGAAGATAAGCCAGGAGCGCCAGCGGGGGACCCGAAAAGAAGATAAGTCAGGAGTGCCAGCGTGGGACCCCAGAAGAAGATAAGTCAGGAGCGCCAGCGGGGGACCCGAGAAGAAGATAAGTCAGGAGCGCCAGCGGGGGACCCGAGAAGAAGATAAGTCAGGAGCGCCAGCAGCGGGGGACCCGAGAAGAAGATAAGTCAGGAGCGCCAGCGGGGGACCCGAGAAGAGAAGAAGATAAGTCAGGAGCGCCAGCGGGGGACCCGAGAAGAAGATAAGTCAGGAGCGCCAGCGGGGGACCCGAGAAGAAGATAAGTCAGGAGCGCCAGCGGGGGACCCGAGAAGAAGATAAGTCAGGAGCGCCAGCGGGGGACCCGAGACGAAGATAAATCAGGAGCGCCAGCGGGGGACCCGAGAAGAAGATAAGTCAGGAGCGCCAGCGGGGGACCCGAGAAGAAAAGCCAGGAGTACCAGCGGGGGACCCGAGAAGAAGATAAGTCAGGAGTGCCAGCGGGGGACCCGAGAAGAAGATAAGTCAGGAGTGCCAGCGGGGGACCCGAGACGAAGATAAGTCAGGAGTGCCAGCGGGGGACCCGAGAAGTAGTTAAGCTAGGAGTGCCAGTGGGGGACCCGAGAAGAAAAGCCAGGAGTACCAGCGGGGGACTCGAGAGAGAAGAAGATAAGTCAGGAGCGCCAGCGGGGGACCCGAGAAGAAGATAAGTCAGGAGTGCCAGCGGGGGACCCGAGAAGAAGTTAAGCTAGGAGTGCCAGCGGGGGACCCGAGAAGAAGTTAAGCTAGGAGTGCCAGCGGGGGACCCGAGAAAAAAGCCAGGAGTGCCAGCGGGGGACCCGAGAAGAAGATAAGTCAGGAGCGCCAGCAGGGGACCCGAGAAGAAGATAAGTCAGGAGTGCCAGCGGGGGACCCGAGAAGAAGATAAGTCAGGAGCGCCAGCGGGGGACCCGAGAAGAAGATAAGTCAGGAGTGCCAGCGGGGGACCCGAGACGAAGATAAGTCAGGAGTGCCAGCGGGGGACCCGAGAAGTAGTTAAGCTAGGAGTGCCAGTGGGGGACCCGAGAAGAAAAGCCAGGAGTACCAGCGGGGGACTCGAGAAGAAGATAAGTCAGGAGCGCCAGCGGGGGACCCGAGAAGAAGATAAGTCAGGAGTGCCAGCGGGGACCCGAGAAGAAGTTAAGCTAGGAGTGCCAGCGGGGGACCCGAGAAGAAGTTAAGCTAGGAGTGCCAGCGGGGGACCCGAGAAGAAAAGCCAGGAGTGCCAGCGGGGGACCCGAGAAGAAGATAAGTCAGGAGCGCCAGCAGGGGACCCGAGAAGAAGATAAGTCAGGAGTGCCAGCGGGGGACCCGAGAAGAAGATAAGTCAGGAGCGCCAGCGGGGGACCCGAGAAGAAGAAAGTCAGGAGCGCCAGCGGGGGACCCGAGAAGAAGATAAGTCAGGAGCGCCAGCGGGGGACCCGAGAAGAAGATAAGTCAGGAGCGCCAGCGGGGGACCCGAGAAGAAGTTAAGCTAGGAGTGCCAGCGGGGGACCCGAGAAGAAAAGCCAGGGAGTGCCAGCGGGGGACCCGAGAAGAAGATAAGTCAGGAGCGCCAGCGGAGGACCCCGAGAAGAAGAATAAGTCAGGAGAGCGCCAGATGGGGGACCCGAAACGAGGAGGATCGGGCTGCAGATGAGTATAGCCGGTTTGCTATTTTTTAAAAAATGACTTTACAATCACTAATCTTTATTTCTGTATTTCATTCTCAGGCGAAGGTTGGAACGGGGATCTCGAGCTCCAGAAACAACATCATGGAGGTAAAGGTCATGAATTACTGACAAAAGAACAGAGAATGAGAGGGGGAGGGGGAGCAAATGCTTGGAGAGTCAATGAGAGAGGAGAGGGAAAGAGATAGAAAAGATAGCAAATGAGAGATATGGGGAGGGGGGGGAGAGGAAGAGGAAAAGGATAGGGAAGATGAATGAAGAAGAGGAAGAGGAACAGGTAGAGGAGAGAGGAATAGGAAAAAGGAAGAGAAAAGAGAGGATGATGGAGAGGAAAGGAGAGGAAGATGGGAGAGGAGAGGGAGAGAAAAATAGAGAGGCGAGGAAGATGGAGAGGGAGAGAAAGAGATAGAAAAGAAGCAAAGGAGAGAATATGGGAGGGGGGGGGGAGAGGAAGAGGGAAGGACAGGGAAGAGGAATGATGAAGAGGATAAAAGAGGGATGAAAGAAGAGGACAGGAGAGGGAGAGGAGAGGATAGAAAAAAAAAAGAGAGAGAGGATGATGGAGAGGAGAAGAGAGGGAGAAGAAAGAAGAGGAAGATGGAGAGGAGAGGAGAAGGAAAAGAGAGAGGGAGATGGAGATGAGAGGAAGATAGAGAGGAGAGGGAGATGGAAAGGAGAGGAAAAAAGATGGAGAGGAGAGGAAGATGGAGAGGAGAGGAAGAAAAAAAGAGAAGAGGAAGATGAGAGAGGAAAAAGAAGGAGAGGAAGATGAGAGGGAGAGGAGAAGAGGAAGAGGAAGGAAAAGAAAGGAGAGGAGAGGAAGATGGAGAGGGAGAGAAAGATGGAGAGGTGAGGAGAGGAAGATGGAGAGAAGAGGGAGAGAAAAAAGAAAAGAGGAAGGAAGAGGAAAGAGGGAGATGAGGGGAGAGGGAGAAAAAATGGAGAGGAAAGGAGAGGGAGAGGACTATGGAAAGGAGAGGGAGAGGAGAGGAAGATGGAGAGGAGAGGAAGAAGAGAGGAAGGAGAGGAGAGGAAGATGGAGAGGAGAGGAAGATGGTGAGGGAGGGAAGAGGGAGATGAGAGGAAAATGGAGAGGAGAGGAAAGGAGAGGGAGAGGATGATGGAAAGGAGAGGGGAAGGAGTGAAAGATGGAGAGGTGAGCAAGGAGAGGTGAGAAAAGATGGAGAGGGAAAAGGGAGAAGAGGAAAGGAGAGGGAAAAGGAAAGGACAATAGAGAGGGAGAGGAAGATGGAGAGACGAGGAGAGGGAGAGGAATCGAGGTAAATTCTAAGGATTTTTATATATCCAACAGTGAAGAATGTGGCTCTAAGAGGCCTTCCCTCCCAGTCATCCTTTTACAGCCCCCGAGATCACCCGGGAAGAGCCATTGATGGATCCCTGCAGAGTAATTCCATGCTCCATCAGTGCACTCACACAAAGTATGACAAGAACCCCTGGTGGAAAGTGAATTTGAAATCCCCCCATCGCATCCAATCCGTGGCCATCACCAATCGTGGTGACTGCTGTCGAGAGAGAATTAATGGTGCTGAGATCCGTATTGGAAATTCTACAGACAAGGGAGGAATCGGCAACCCCAGGTAGGTAATATTGTAGAACAATCACTGAACCCATCAACCTGTTTTTTTTTTTTTTTTTTTTTTTTTTTTTTTTTCAGTGTGCAGAGAGGAGCTCCAGAGAAGGAGGACAACAACCCAACATGTAGCTTCTAAATCAGGTGAGTAGCTGCAGCTCCCATCATGACAGGTTCACTTTATTCATCTTGCAGATGCGAAACAATATTCAAAATGAATTATGGGGAGACAATGGCCTTTAACTGCAGAGGAATGGAGGGCCAGTACGTTTCCATTCATTTGCCCAATGAAAAAAAATACTTAAACCCTCTGTGAAGTCCAAGTATTTGGGGGAACCTGTTGCTCAGCAAGGTATGTACAGAGCGTTACTTTTATCATTCTAAAGAAGTGTTTTGTTTCAAATATTGTGCGCCTGTGTCTAAAACGTCAGCTGATTCATTGTTGTTTTTGAGGGATGGGGGAGGTTGGGATACTTTAATTTATAACAGGCAGACAGGATAATGCATTTTATATGGAAGTATGGAAATTGTGTTTATAACTGATAAGGGCCCCAAAAAACAAAGGAGAACATAGATCTGTACATGGTCAGGATGGAGGACATAGATCTGTACATGGTCAGGATGGAGGACATAGATCTGTACATGGTCAGGATGGAGGAAAATCTCTGTACATGGTCAGGATGGAGGACATACATCTGTACTGTATATCTGTACATGGTCATGATGGAGGACATACTGTAGATCTGTACATGGTCAGGCTGGAGGACATAGATCTGTACGTGGTCAGGATGGAAGACATAGATATGTACGTGGTCAGGATGGAGGACATAGATCTGTACATGGTCAGGATGGAGGACATATATCTGTACATGGTCAAGTTGGAGGACATAGATCTGTACATGGTCAGGATGGAGGATATAGATCTGTCATGGTCAGGATGGAGGACATAGATATGTACATAGTAAGGATGGATGGAGAACATATATCTATACATGGTCAGGATGGAGGACATAGATATGTACATGGTCAGGATGAAAGACATAGATTGTACATGGTCAGGATGGAGGACATAGATATGTAATGGTCAGGATGGAGGACATAGATCTGTACATGGTCAGGGTGGAGGACATAGATATGTAATGGTCAGGATGGAGGACATAGATCTGTACATGGTCAGGATGGAGGACATAGATCTGTACATGGTCAGGATGGAGGACATAGATATGTACATGGTCAGGATGGAGGACATAGATCTGTACATGGTCAGGATGGAGGACATAGATCTGTACATGATCAGGATGGAGGACATAGATCTGTACATGGTCATGATGGAGGACATAGCTCTATACATGTTCGGGATGGAGGACATAGATCTGTACATGGTCAGGATGGAGGACATAGATCTGTACATGGTCAGGATGGAGGATATAAATCTGTATGTATTCTGTTTTTTGTTTAGTTGTCTCGGAACCTCAAGCCACAGAAGCTCCACGTAAGTTTTTCTAATTTTTGTTCAGTTCTAAGTTGTAGTTCATTTGATAATTGATAAACATAACTGACTGCTATTGATGGCCCCTATGGGTAGAATATTAGAATGATTGGAGAATTTATGTTTGTATCATAGATTTTGTTTGTCATTGACATGGTCAGGTGGAGGACATATATCTGTACATGGTCAGGATGGAGGACATAGATCTGTACATGGTCAGGATGGAGGACATAGATCTGTACATGGTCAGGATGGAGGACATAGATCTGTACATGGTCAGGATGGAGGACATAGATCTGTACATGGTCAGGATGGAGGACATAGATCTGTACATGGTCAGGATGGAGGATATAGATCTGTACATGGTCAGGATGGAGGACATAGATCTGTACATGGTCAGGATGGAGGAAATAGATCTGTACATGGTCAGGATGGAGGACATAGATCTGTACATGGTCAGGATGGAGGACATAGATCTGTACATGGTCAGGATGGAGGACATAGATCTGTACATGGTCAGGATGGAGGACATAGATCTGTACATGGTCAGGATGGAGGACATAGATCTGTACATGGTCAGGATGGAGGACATAGATCTGTACGTGGTCAGGATGGAGGACATAAATCTGTACGTGTCAGGTCAGGGTCAGGATGGAGGATATACAATATATCTGTACATGGTCAGGATGGAGGACATAGATCTGTACATGGTCAGGATGGAGGACATAGATCTGTACATGGTCAGGATGGAGGACATAGATCTGTACATGGTCAGGATGGAGGACATAGATCTGTACATGGTCAGGATGGAGGACATAGATCTGTACATGGTCAGGATGGAGGACATAGATCTGTACATGGTCAGGATGGAGGACATAAATCTGTACGTGGTCAGGATGGAGGACATAGATCTGTACATGGTCAGGATGGAGGACATAGATCTGTACATGGTCAGGATGGAGGACATAGATCTGTACATGGTCAGGATGGAGGACATAGATCTGTACATGGTCAGGATGGAGGACATATGCAAAATCTGTACGTGGTCAGGATGGAGGATATAGATCTGTACATGGTCAGGATGGAGGACATAGATCTGTACATGGTCAGGATGGAGGACATAGATCTGTACATGGTCAGGATGGAGGACATAAATCTGTACGTGGTCAGGATGGAGGATATACAATATATCTGTACATGGACAGGATGGAGGACATATATCAGTACATGGTCAGGTTGGAGGACATAGATCTGTACATGGTCAGGTTGGAGGACATATATCCTGACCATGTACCGATCTATGTCCTCCATCCTGACCATGTACAGATCTATGCCCTCCATTCTGACCATGTACAGACCTATGTCCTCCATCCTGACCATGTATAGATCTATGTCCTCCATCCTGACCATGTACAGATCTATGTCCTCCATCCTGACCATGTACAGATCTATGTCCTCCATCCTGACCATGTACAGATCTATGTACCTGCCCTGGGTGCTTGTAAGATAGAATGTTTTCTGGGGTAGGTTTTCGGTGATGAAGACAAATGTTTTCTGTTTTTTGTTAAGTTGCCTCGGAACCTCAAGCCGCAGTAGCTCCAGGTAAGTTTTTCCAATTTTCGTTCAGTTTTAAGTTTGTAGTTCATTTGATAAACATAACTGACTGATATTGATGGCCCCTATGGGGTAGAATATTAGAATGATTGGAGAATTTATTATCATTTTTGTTTGTCATTGAGTGTGTTTTATGTAATGTTGGAGAAGCTGCAGGACTTTTACCCATAGGAATCCGGCACAAATTTTAAGTTATATTTAGAAAATGTAAACCTGCCCCGTGTGTCCACCGGCTCATTATTCCTTACCTATTTTTACTTTTACATCTTTCTCCCAGGCAGTGAAGAGTCTGAAAAATCGATAGCATCTGGTATGTTTTTTCAGTTACTTTAACACCTTCCAGTCACCCCAATTCTGACCTTTCTCCTACATGTAAAAAGCATCATTTTTTTTTGCTAGAAAACTACTTAGAATCCCCAAACATTATATATATATTTTCAAGCAGTGGTCTCCAAACTGTGGCCCGGGGGCCAGATACGGCCGTTTTCTTGCTTTTAACTGACCCTTGGAGCACTATTTCATCCACTGCCACCAGCCCCCCTAAAGTCTGAAGAACAATAAACTGTCTCTTTGTATAAAACGTTTGGTGACCTCTGCCCTAGAGAATAAAATGGTGGTCGTTGCCTATTCATATGTCACATGATATTTGTGCAGTGTTTTTTTTCCAGAAGCAAATTTTCTGAAAAAATTCACGATTTCGTGAATTTTAATGCGCAAAAACACGACACCCAATTTTCGGTAACATGTAAAAGATGGATGTTATGCCGTGTAAGTAGATACCAAACATGTGACGTTTTAAAATTGTGTACGCCCTCGGAACGCCACCAAACTACGGTACCTGAAAAGCCTCCATCGGTATAGGTGCTAGAGAGAGAGAGGGGGGGAGGGGGGAGAGGGGGGAGGAGAGAGAGAGGGAGGGGGAGAGGGCACAGAGAGAGGGGAGAGAGATGGAGAGGGAGGGAGAGTGAGAGAGGCAAAGGGGAGGGAGAGAGAGGGGGAGAGGGGGGGGTGAGAGAGGGGGAGGGGAAGGAGGGAGAGTGAGAGAGGGGGGGAGGAGAGAGAGAGAGAGAGGGGGAGAGGGCACAGAGAGAGGGGGGAGAGAGGGAGGGAGAGTGATAGAGGGGGAGGGGGAGGAGGGAGAGTGATAGAGGGGGAGGGGAAGGAGGGAGAGTGATAGAGGGAGAAAGGGGAGGGAGAGAGAGGGGGGAGAGGGGGGGAGATATGGGGAGGGGAGGGGAGGGAGAGAAAGGGGAGGTGGGACGAGAGAGAGGGGGGAGATGGAGGGGAAAGAGGGCAGAGGAAGAGAAAGAGGAGAGGGGGGAGAGAGAGAGAGGGGGGGAAGAGAGAGGGGGGGGAGAGGGGAGGGAGAGAGAGGGGGAGGGGAAGGGAGAGGGAGGGAGAGAGAGAGGGGGGAGAGAGAGGGGGGGGAGAGAGGGAAGGAGAGGGGGGAGAGAGAGGGAGAGAGAGGGGAAGGGAGAGAGAGGGAGAGAGGGAGAGGGAGGGGGGAGAGAGGGGGGGAGAGAGGGAAGGAGAGAGAGCATCCCTGTAAATAAAAGGTATTCATGACTGATACAAAACATGTATTTGTTTGAGTCCTTTCGGCAGCTGATGACAGACTCTTCTTTTTACCAGTTTGGTCCAAAAACAAATGTATATTTTGCATCAGTCCAGTATATGTTGTCTTTCATTTCAAGCCCCGATGAAGGGGGTGTCCTCAGACCCCCGAAGCATGTGAACTTTGTAATGCAGTTTTATCTTGGGACAAAATCTATATCTAGATGGCTATACCTTGGTGTGGCCAGTACTGGGACAGGATTGTCCAGTGCTCAGGGCAAGGATGCAAAACTGTAGGCCCACCCCCCCCCCCCCCCCCCCCCCCCCCCCAACACATGCCGTAGAATGGGTGTACCACCTTGTGCCTATTCTTTGACCCTTGCTCTGGCTGTTTATGGTTGGCATGGAGTACACACTGCCCATTCGTGGCCAAACGCTTGTTTCCTTACGTAGCTGGAAGGTAGCTGCACATGCGTGGTTTGTTCTTGTGTCAGCTGTGGCTGGAGAGCTGGTATGTTGGAGCACAACGTGACAGCAGTAGCTGTCAGAGCAGACATGAAGCTGCAGCCTACTGGTTGTCAGCCATTGATGTGGACCTTGTGCACAGTGAGGGGGCGCCCTCCCCTATCTCTCTACCCTGGGCGGCTGCCCCTCCTGCCCACACCCTTGGGTGCAACTTCAGTCTACATGAAGACCAGGGTCTTCTTCCCTTTTGGATATGGTCCCAGCAGTGGGCAGTCAGTGATATAGGGTTAGGGTTAGAGTTGGGGTCAGTCCATTGCTGCATTCACCAACACAGGCGTAACCTTCCTCCCTGAAACTTTCCAATCAGCGAATCACAGTGCAGTTTTATTTGGTATCTGCTCACCTGAGTCCATTTCAGCGCAGTCAGAATTCCTAAGCCCTAATGAAGGGGCCCCCCGAAACACGTTGGCTCTATTTTGCTATGAATCAATTTTATCACTGAATTTTCTTGGATTCTTGGACGTTTGTTTGGCGCTTCCTTTGGATTGTAGCTTTCACTAAGAGGCATCCCCATGACATCCTGCACAAAGTCCATTGAAACCACGGGGCCCCATACAACCAACCTGACAAGGCCCCCCAAACCACGGTGCCCCATACAGCCAACCTTACAAGGCCCCCCACACCACGGGGCCCCATACAGCCAACCTGACAAGGCCCACCACACCACGGTGCCCCATACAGCCAACCTGACAAGGCCCCCCAAACCACAGTGCCCCATACAGCCAACCTTACAAGGCCCCCCACACCACGGGGCCCCATACAGCCAACCTGACAAGGCCCCCCACACCACGGTGCCCCATATAGCCAACCTGACAAGGCCCCCCCCACACCACGGTGCCCCATACAGCCAACCTGACAAGGCCCCCCAAACCACGGTGCCCCATACAGCCAACCTGACAAGGCCCCCCACACCACGGGGCCCCATACACCCAACCTGACAAGGCCCCCCACACCACGGGGCCCCATACAGCCAACCTGACAAGGCCCCCCACACCACGGTGCCCCATACAGCCAACCTGACAAGGCCCCCCACACCACGGTGCCCCATACAGCCAACCTGACAAGGCCCCCCCACACCACGGTGCCCCATACAGCCAACCTGACAAGGCCCCCCACACCACGGGGCCCCATACAGCCAACCTGACAAGGCCCCCCCCAAACCACGGTGCCCCATACAGCCAACCTTACAAGCCCTCTCCTCCCCACAAAAAAAAAAAGTTTACTAAGCTTCAATTATGAATGAACATAATGAGTGATTTTTACCGATCATTCATTGTGTTCATTCAGGAAAGGAATGGGCTTGGCAAATGTGACATATTTACCAGACCCTTCCTTCCGCTCTCCATCCTGATGATCCTGTTGTGTGCTTGCAGCTGCCGGTGGGAAGGAGAGGAGGGAAGTTGGCAACACTGCAGGGGGGTGGTGGCAGCAGATGGAAATGTATGGTGCACAGGGAGGGTGATGGGTGTGTCAGGAGGCAATTACTGGAACAGATCCCCTGTATGGCTCCCTCTGCAGCAGCTAAAAGCCAGTGGGAGAGAGAGGAGAAGAAGCAAGCTTTCAGCCTCTGCAGAGGGAGCCACACAGGGGATCAGTTCCAGTACTTGCCCCTCCCCCACCATGCTGATCATCCTTCCTGCCCACATCCAATTTACACAGCTGCCTGGGCCCCGTACAGGAGGACTGGTGGTACCCCCTTATCCACGGCCCTGAGGCCATATGCATACTTTTTTCAATAGACCCCTATCATAGTTTTTTTGGTTGCATCCTTTTGACCAATTTTAACCCAATACTTCCTTTCCTTTTTCAGATCTTACAGGAAAATACTTCCTGTTCCCCGAAGAAAGTAACAGCAGTTACATCGACTTGTCCCCTGCCCTGCCGCTGAAATTAAACGCCTTCACCCTCAGCATGAAAGTGTCTTTAAATGTTCCAAAAAACAGGGAAACCATCCTATTCTCTTACCGCACTCTCTTCTACGACGAGCTGAATTTGTGGCTGGAAAAGTCCGGGAAGCTGGGGTTCTACATGAGCGGAGACGGCCTCATGTTCCCAACGCTGGACAGGAGCAAAGAGTGGCAACACATCTGCCTGACGTGGGAGTCGAAGTATGGGCGCAGCGAGGTGTGGGTGAACGGGAGAAGGTACGCCAACAGGGTTTATAGCAAGGGACACAAGGTGCGACCAGGAGGCATCGCCATGCTCGGCCAGGACCAAGACTCCCTTGGGCACGACTTCGACGGCTCGCAAAGCTTTGTGGGAAAAATCAAAGACCTGAACATGTGGAATAAAGTTCTGTCACTCAAGACTTTGCGGTCAATGTTCAGAGGAAAGGAGAAGACCAAAGGGAACGTCTTCGACTGGAGCCAGCTGACGTTCTCTAAGAAAGGCAACGTGCAAATCGTGGAGGCCGTCTGACATCTATCTGAGACATTGTACCTCCTAATATGTCCGGAATTAAAAAATGACTTGAATCACTTTGGCTTACTCGATTCTTTTTTTTTTTTAACATTTTAAATTAAGAAAATAAAAAAATAAACGGAATTTACTGGTACCAAGAACACAAGAATTATATAATTAATTACATAGGTCGCCTATCGTTACAGGTGTCTTTTTCCCCACCCCTGGCTTGCATACAATTTCTGGGCAATGTTTAGGTGTTCTGCTAAGGCACCCCTGAAGAAACCTGGAGGCACCCCATCAGATTTCAGGGTGTATTTTCACGAGTACTCGGTATCGGCACCTTGGTGCATCCCTAGTTACAACATAATCTACATTATCAATGCTATGTTGGAACATCTGTTTTTATAGATGGGTCATATTCCTGCCGATCCTCAAGAATAGAATAGGTTGAGTGATACATCGACTTCCTGCTGATTGCAAAAGAGAAAACCCATCCCGTGAATATTCCAGAGAGGGAGCTGGCCACTGGAGGGTGTAGACCTTACCAATCCTTCCTAAAACATTTGTTGGAGGATCTACCGATCTCTTGATATCGCTGTCTTAATCACCTCTAGAACTTGTAGAGACAAAAAAGTACCTTACCAATCCTTCCTAAAACATTCGTTGGAGGATCTACTGATCTCCTGACACCGCTGTCTTGATCACCTCTAGAACTTGTAGAGACTAAAAAGTACCTTACCAATCCTTCCTAAAACATTCGTTGGAGGATCTACTGATCTCCTGACACCACTGTCTTGATCACCTCTAGAACTTGTAGAGACAAAAAAGTACCTTACTAATCTTTCCTAAAATATTCGTTGGAAGATCTACTGATCTCCTGACACCGCTGTCTTGATCACCTCTAAAACTTGTAGAGGCAAAAAAGTACCTTACCAATTCTTCCTAAAACATTCGTTGGAGGATCTACCGATCTCCTGACACCGCTGTCTTGATCACTTCTAGAACTTGTAGAGACAAAAAAGTACTAATGGAGATAAAGTAGTCCATCACATTAACACCGGCCAATTACAACGTACCACAAAAAAACCCCAAAAATATAAAAACATATAATAAATTTTATTTGTAACATTTTTTTGAGATAACCAAACAGGGAAAAGGATTTTGTTTTCAGTGTTTGGTGCCAGTCGTTGAAAGTTCCACATGTAGGACATATCTGGTGAAGGACCTAACAAAAGAGCCCAAAGGGTAAACCTATAGAACATCTTTGACGTTCCATCCAGTATAATACGGTGGTATATAATAGATAGAAACATGGAAAGGCAGGAACAGGTGTCCCCCTCCGTTGATGTGTTTTTCGGGTTTTTACCCGTTTCTTCCAGACGATTAGGTGCTGTTCTACGTAAGACGCTACAATGTAATTGTATACAAAAGTGCAAGAAATATTCATAATAATTTGAAATAATAAACACACAATGACAACCTCCAACCAACAGATTACGAAAGTAAAAAAACAGTGGCACTATATTAAAAAAAATGAAATCACTGAGGTGAATGAAATATCAGTCCAACACGTCCATATGTCATGTGACCAAAAGGACCAGCATAGCGTCAACATGTGATAATGACACGCCACATGAAGTATGACATCCTCTGTGATCCAACATTGACCCTCCAGCTTCTTACCAGAAGTGATGACCCATAAATGAACACAAATCGTGCCTCCAGTGGAGGTCTAATAGACTCCTGATGTCTCCATATAGAGGACCTGTCACCACCCCAATGCTATCAGATAGCAGCTTCTTGGCGCCTTGTAATAGCAATAACGTAAGAAAAAAATAAAATGTGTAGAAAAAAACAACAACAAATATATATATACTGTATATACACTTTATTAGGTCCACCTCTTAAATTGCTTGGTAACACAAATTGCTAATCAGCCAATCACGTTGCAGCAACTCAATGCATTTAGGCATCTGGACATGGTGAAGATGACTTGCTGAAGTTCAAACTGGGCATCAGAATGGGGAAGAAAGGGGATTGAAGTGACTTTGAACGTGGCATGGTGGTTGGCACCAGACGGGCCGGTCTGAGTATTTCAAAAACTGCTGATCTACTCGGATTTTCCCTCACAGCCATCTCTAGGGTTTACAGAGAATGGTCCGAAAAAGAGAAAATGTCCAGTGAGTGGCAGTTGTGTAGAGGAAAATGCCTTGTTGAGGTCAGAGGAGAACGGGCAGACTGGTTTCAGATGATAGAAAGGCTCCAATAACCCCTCGTTACACCCAAGGTATGCAGAATCCCATCTCTGAATGCACAACACGTCCAACTTTGAAGCAGATGGGCTACAGCAGCAGAAGACCACACCGGGTGCCACTCCTGTCATCAGCAGACCACACCAGGTGACCCACTCCTGTCATCAGACCACACCGGGTGCCACTCCTGGGTCATCAGAAGACCACACCGGGTGCCACTTCTGCCATCAGAAGACTACACTGGGTGCCACTCCTGTCATCAGAAGACCACGGGTGCCACCGGGTGCCACTCCTGTCATCAGAAGACCACACTGGGTGCCACTCCTGTCATCAGAAGACCACACCGGGTGCCACTCCTGTCATCAGACCACACCGGGTGCCACATCCTGTCATCAGAAGACCACACCGGGTGCCACTTCTGCCATCAGAAGACTACACCGGGTGCCACATGGGTGCCACTCCTGTCATCTAAGAACAGGAAACGGAGGCTACAATTTGCACAGTACGAAAAGTCCCGCAGAACAACATTAAATATGTAAACCGAGGTACGCCTGTAAATAAAACGTGTGGGGATCACTACTTTGCAGCAACTGTACTCCTATGGGGTGTTGAAAACATACCAACAACTCTGTATGGACTACGACTTGGGTCAAAGATGGGTTTTTTTTTTTCAATATCTACAATTCAGACTTGCTCTGAACACCCAATGTTTGGCTCCGACCGCTTTTGTTTTTATTTTGGTCCCTATTTTGGACGGTATAGTACAAGGAAGTCATTCTACGGGTCTCATTTTTAAGGCCTATGGGGGATTGTTATCTGAACCACTTCTTGAGTTTAAGACTTATTATTATTATACAGGATTTATGGCGCCAACAGTGTGCTCAGCACTTTACAATATAAAGGGAGACAGTACAGCAACAATACAGTTCAATACAAGAGGGTTAGGAGAGCCCTGATCCTGGGAGCTTACAATCTAGGAGGGAGGGGCTGGTGGTACAAAAGGTAGCAACTTTGGGGGATGGACTGGTTGGAAGAGTAGAAGATTCCATTATTAGCTGAGGGCAGGATAGGCTTCCCTGAAGAGATCGGTTTTCAGAGATCGCCTAAAAGTGAGCAGAGTAGGTGATAGTCTGATAAATTGGGGTAGAGAGTTCCAGAGGATGGGGGAAGCTCTGCAGAAGTCCTGGAGATGAGCATGGGAGGAGGAGACAAGGGAGCTAGAGAGCAGGAGGTTGTGGGAGGAGCAGAGAGTACGGTTTGGGTGAAATGTGGAGACAAGGTCGGTGATGTAATTTGGGGTGGTGGAGTTATAAATGTCTTTATACGTTATTGTTAATGTTTTGAATTTTATCCGTTGGGCAATGGGAAGCCAGTGGAGGGATTGGCAGAGAGGGGTGGAGGACACTGAGTGGAGGCCAGTGGAGGGATTGGCAGAGGGGGGTGGAGGACACTGAATGGAGGCCAGTGGAGGGATTGGCAGAGAGGGGTGGAGGACACTGAGTGGAGGCCAGTGGAGGGATTGGCAGAGGGGGGTGGAGGACACTGAATGGAGACCAGTGGAGGGATTGGCAGAGAGGGGTGGAGGACACTGAGTGGAGGCCAGTGGAGGGATTGGCAGAGAGGGGTGGAGGACACTGAGTGGAGGGCAGTGGAGGGATTGGCACAGAGGGGTGGAGGACACTGAATGGAGGCCAGTGGAGGGATTGGCACAGAGGGGTGGAGGACACTGAATGGAGGCCAGAGGAGGGAGGGATTGGCAGAGAGGGTGGGAGGACTGAGTGGAGGCCACACTGGCAGAAGGGGTGGAGGACACTGAATGGAGGGAGGGATTGGCAGAGAGGGATCGAGGACACTGAGTGGAGACCAGGGCCCTGACTTCAGAAAAATAAATGATTTTTTGGGGGGGTTACAGTAAATTTTATCAAAAAATGATTTAAATTAAATAATAATGTAGACAAGCGGCTATTTTTCCTGCTGACCAGCACTTTTTTGCGGTGATACGTACAGACAGAAATGTGGATCGGGTGATGGGGTTTGTTTTGGTCTTTAGGTGAATGAGGAGACATGGCTTCTTATTTTTATTTCTATTATATTCATCAGATTTATGTTTTTTTTTTGTCTTTATTTTTGCTCCTTTCTGGCTCTCGCCTGGTTGCTGAGCAACGGACCGGCGCTTCCCTGTACTATTGTTACGTTCAAGTCGTGCAACGACGTGATGACATCATTTCGGGGCGCCGCGCCTTCTTGATGTGCGTCGGGCCAAATGGCGCCGGCGGTTTGCGTTCCACGGTGAAACGCTATTCCGCGATTGCCACGGCTTTCCGGTGAACGTGGCGCTGGGGCTGCGGGGCGATGGCTGCCTTACTTCTCTATCTCTCTGCTAGGGTGGTGGGGGGGGTTGGTGTTTGGGAACCAGAGGCTGTTTCTTGCCCTGGTTCCAGAGGTGATGTCACTTCCGGCTTGGACCGGAAGCGGGGAGGGGCGAAGTTGTGGGCTCCTCCTAGCTGGGAGGACGGAGATCTCCGGTGATTTTTAGTCTGGAGCTCCTCTCTTGTCAGTGTAGCAGGTATGAAGGGTTCATTTCTGGGATTTTCCTGGTTTCTGGCTGCTTCGTGACGCTTAGTCTTTGCGCATGCCCGCGAGCCGCGCCAATGTACTATTTTCAGTGCTTTTTTAACCCCTCCCCCTACAGAGGATTACCCCCCCCCCCCCATTCCAAAGGATTCCCCCTCCAGATGATTCCCCCTCCAGATGCTTTCTCCT